AAAACAATCAAATTCTATTAAGGCCACACCAAGTAAATTTTATGGATGACGTCCTTTGGAGACCCTAAATCTAATGCGAGAGGGCGAGAAAAAACAAGAAGGGCCCTAAAAAACAAGATGCCTAGATTAGAAATATACTAAGAGACGACAAATGTTAGGACACAAATTGAATGAGGTTACACAGTGTAACAAGCAAGAAGTCTTTTATTCACCATCAAAACAGCAATAAATCAGGTGGAACAGCAGTTGTCGTCCTGTCCTGTTTTCGCGTTACGGGCTTCACGTCAATCTGACGATTTGCGGCACTGACGTGACTCTTTGGTCATAGTTACAGGAAGCGGAATTTCTTGTTTTTTTTTCTAGGAACAGGCCAAAATCAATGCGCGCGCGGACGTCATCCATAAAATTTACTTGGTGTGGCCTAATCAAAGAATACTGCGTAAGGCATTAAGAATTTAAGAGTTCATTGTGTAGCTACAAACACAGATGAATCGCCACTTTATTATCCCTTAGTCCACCGATTTAATTTTATGGATGACATCCTCTGAAGACCCCCAAACTAAAAAAAACAAGAAGCCATAGGTGACAATCCTCCGTGAAGTTTTATATATTTCAACAAAATCCCAAGCGTCAACGCCAGACCTACTGTGCAGACATTATAATTAGGCAACGGTTAATACAATGAGGGCGCGTCACAAGCATAAAACATAAAAAGAGCTAAATCCATTACTGCTCCCAGGGCGTGTAAAGATACTGTGCTTCAAGTTCGAAGTTCATTTTAATTACACACACACAATCATTGCATTCACATAAAGATCGGACTATCATGGTCGTGTCTAGTAACAAACACAGTCCCACCGTCTTACCGTGCCTGTACCTAATTAAGCGCGCCTGGAACAGGGCAAAATCCAGCAACAGTTGCGGTAAGCACCGCGAGTGTTACTACCGCCGGCCAGATAACCAGGATATCTGCTTACAGTACCTCTGCTACCAGACAACTGCCTAAACCTACGGCCTATTCCACAGGATTGTAAAAGTAGGGATGTTTCTAAAATATGCATTTACTTCAATATCAAAACAGCTACGGTAAAAATTAAAAGGCGTGCATCATCCCGGACATAATGCCACACCACATGCGAAATTACACAGAAATGCGACGTACGGCAGAATGCGTTTTGGCTGCGAACATCTTCCAAAAAACTTGGCATCTCTTAAGCATGGGCAAAAGCATCTGGAACCACTTATCAAAACCACCTCGTATCTGCATGAAGTTCCACCCCCCCACTGCTATTCCAAACAACGCGTTTTTCTGGACCATTCCAATTCGCCTCGTAATTGTAGGGGTGCGTCTGCAATATTACATTGACCGCGAAAGCAGCAACGGCAAAAATACACATTCGTGCATCAACACGGGCATGCCCGCAGACGGCGTATAAAATTGCGTGCCGATTACACAAAGAGAACCCAGTGTTTTGACTGCAAACATGAAAAATCAGCTGATCACAACACTCCGTCCGGAGGTCCTGACCTCCTTCACGGAGTAATAAAGCAGGTATTGTGAATTTGCGGCATAATTTAGGGAGGAGTACGACAAGCCGCACACATGCTGGCTTTTTGAGGAATTTATGAATCGGCACTGTACGTATGTACATGAGTTCGTGGAGCTTCGGTAGCCTGGGTGCTGTCCTCCGGAGTTACCTTCGGCTCCGTATTGTCGCTTACTACCATGGACTACCCAAGCCTAGAGCCAGGTCAGAGCCTCGGTGGACGTGATCTTTTTTTTTTTGCGAACAGGCGAAAATGAATCCTCGCGCGGATGTCATCCATAAAATTAAGTCGGTGTGGCCTTTAAAGTCCATAAGAAATGGGGCTTTGTGGGGCGTAAAGTTAACATTGCCACTCACCGTGATCTCAAGTCTGATGGCTTTCAGGCTGGGCGGTACTTCATCTCCAATAAGAGGGATCCTTGTCACCTGTTTAAAACCCCTCTGCCGTGTGTGACTGTACATCAGCTGGAAATCCGTCCCTGGTATTGGAACAGATGCCTCACCTGGTCTCTGATTTAAAAAAAAAAACATATATTTTTTTTTAATTTTTATTATTCATTCACAAAATAACACATAAACCAACAATAACGCAAATGATAACACATATACCACGGATCCAAATACAGCTGTACAACAGAATAAACAAACAAAATAATAAACAAACAAAATAATACCAGCCAACTAAAGCTATACTAACAAAGGAGGAAAATAAAAAATAACATATGAATTTAACAACACTTAGATCAACTTTATACAGATGAAATAATGATATAAAGAGAAACATATGATAATCAACATAATGCATACTCAATACAATAAGTGAAACATATTTTACTACATTATTTGAGTTGATTATGCTAAAGTCATTCGAATAGAATATATTTCATGTACTCATTTGATCAATGAAGTCTAGTAACTATCCTGATGATGATGAACAATCCTACAAGCATGATGGCACTGGATCTATGTTGGTAGAAGTCATTATAAAACGAGATTGAACGGCAATTGCCAACATACAACTCAAGTCTTTTTTAAAGAATGAGCATAATGGTGTTGTTTAGCAAAACATTGGCCTATTTCTGACAGACAGCCGACTTTTTCGATAATAGCCGTACCCAAACTAGGTGACAGAATCCTACACCTAGAAGTCAATCGCTGGGCAATACTTAAAGTAGGTTGTTAACATTATCATTGTCAAGGGGTTCGGGGTATCGAATACAATAATGATATCATGATGATGAGGTTAGATTAACAAGGTACGATTAATAAAAAAACATATCAAGTAGTTGACTATGTTCTATATCATAAATTTTCATACCGAAGTGAGCCTCTCCCTCCTTTGTTCCCCATCGTATACGGTAGCTCCTTCCAAGTCTTCCTCTTCACTGTAAATGTTGGCGGTTACAGCAGGGTAAGGACCATGCTCCCCAGGGTCGAGTCCAGCCGGTATATATGGAAAGAACTGCTGCCAATAGTCAGAATTTAGAAGGAAATTACTTCTGTTGTTGTCGTTCCCAGATGCTCTCTTTTTCCGGTTCCGACCTCTTGCTGAACTCCCCCCTCCTCCCGTACCTGGACATGGGTTTGGTGGTGAAGAGGGAGGGGGTCGGTCTCCTGGGCCAAAACCATCATCTGGAGGCCCGTACGGCCAGTTGCAGTCCCAGGGTGTGAAGTGAGGTATCCTGACCCTCCATAGGGTGTCACCGGGGTTGTACAACATGGCCAGTCTCTCAAGCTCATTGTCAGTAATGCCTGGGTATTCAGAGAGTAATTTAAATGTAATTTACAATATCATGTCATGTCTTGCGGTGTAAACCTGCCAGTAGATGAAAGCGAAACATATTTTAGCAGAGAGGTGTGTCCAAATGTTTGTGGAATTTTCTTATGATTATGTAATGCATTTTTAGACGTTGGCTGCTGCTGCTAGCATACACTCCTAGCTGACACATAAAGCATTTAAGCAAAAAAAAACCTTAACCTAGTAATTCATAAATACATGAAATACTGTTATTGTATATAGTTTTAAAACTTCTAAAAACATTGCAATGCATATTTACTCCAAGAAAATTAATAATTCTTATTCTGATTTGGTCAAATGTGCCCTTTAATAAGATTAACGATGAGCTTTTTCGTAGTTGCTAGTTTTCATAGTCAAAAAAGACCTGAAAACGATTTTTACTACACGTACAGTAAATCTCACCTAGTTCATGTCTTTCGGTTTCGTTTGCTGCCTGCCCATTCCCGTGGACATCTAGACTCGCCTTTCTCGGATCAGAAGAATCTAGAAGTTGTATAACTAGACCGTTTTCTGATGCTATCCAACGCCCTCCGCTGCGGTCGTAGTAACCTAAAATCCAAACGAAACCGTTAAGGTAATAGTTAATGTAAATGTACATATCTGTACATGTAGCTACTACAATTAATTGTGTTATAGTAGCTTATGAGTTACAGCAAAATATATTTTCCAAAACTAGAAAGACTGAGACAATATGACAGAGATGTAAATGAAGATCATATTTTGTAACAGTAAACTATTGATAAACCTGCATGCAGATGCAAATGTTGTGATATATTTGGTCCTTTGCATGTTACATAGCGCTACACTTCTTCTTGCTGTTACTAAAGGGATGATCGAAGCATTCAGAGAAATGCTGATAGCTCGTTGCAAAGAACGTATGCACCTCGCCTCCAGCCTAGATGTATACAAGTGGACATATCTAACCTGTAGGAACTGCCGAACCAACCGGGAATCCAAGAAAGTTGTTGACGTAAAATGGCAGGCTCTGGTTAAAGTTCACATCTGTAGAACCGTTGACGGATGCTTCATCTAGGCTAAAATTAAACATGATCGACATCACTAATTCGGTACATGTATAACGTTTACAGTGCTCGAGTATTATATTTTACAATACTAATAGACTGTGCCGTAAAATGTAAAAACAGTTAATTTGAAAATAAATGTCAATGTTTATCAAAACGCCACAGGAACAATGAAATTCTTATCAGCAGGCTTTTTTGGGGGAAGTGGGGCATGGAGATTTTTTAATGACTTGCACAACTGAGAGAATGCATATGTAGTTACCTCATTTCTACAGCATATGTGTAGCCGGTAAACGCTGGGAGCTGGGCAGGCATTGCCTCTTCACCACTGTCTCCCACGGTGTACTCTGTAACTCGCACACGTGGCCTCTGTATAGTCTGCGTAACAGATAGAAAACAGACAGAAACAGATCAAAGATTGTACATAACAAAACTTTACCCAATGCTGCTTTGCCTCCATTATAACTCCGCATATTAAAAAAGCATCACTGGGAATGCACGGCAAATTTGACAGGCAGGCAAAAAGACAAGCCTAGATTAACGATTCACCCAATCGATGTATACTAGTTGATACGACCGTGATATAGTTAGCTAGTCCAATAATTTCTGTTATGTATGAGATCAAGATGTTCTAGATAACAAATTATATTGCTTCCAATCATGTAAATAATAATTTTATAGCGTATCTATGTGGTAGCACTTGTACCAATTATATTTGAGAGCTGTCAATTAATTTTGCTGAACCTACCTCATTTTGTGTTCCATTTTTGGCAGTTATTGTGACGCCCGTTCCTGGTTCAAACATCAGAACGGGTTTTCGGCTGCCAGCTTCGTCTTCTACCACCGTGCCTTCGACGACTTGGATGTCAGATGACTGTAGATCCACTTCTGTCACCTTTAGAAAGGAGACCAATAATCTAACGTCTTAAATGAGAATTAAACTGTTATCCATCCAACTCAAGAAAATTGACTCAACGGAAGTTTTGACCAAATCACTTTTCATCTATTTTCTGATAAGAGTGCTGTAGACACGTGCTGTAGATTTCCTAACTTGTGACGTCAGCACTGGGTTAAAGTTCGTCGGAAGTCGGTACCGCCCCCCGTCTCGGTAGAGAGAAAGTTGGTATGCCCTGATATTTATGGATTCCATCACTTTTCTCGCAAAAATCACGTACCATGTCTAGAATCTATGATCTTATTAGCCATTATGAATTGTATTCCAGATTGTATCAATGTGTCCAAGACTGTCGGCGTCTTGCGGCATGCCTTCCCTCCCTATATGTATGCCAGCACCAGTATAAACTATTCAGTATAAAAAAAAAAAAAACAGAATTCTTACCTTAGTGTCCACAGGAATCATGGCCACCGGGTCAACCTGGTTGTATGATTGGATTCTCGGTCTGACGGTGCGCTGTGTCCCGATCATGTTCCGCCGTCTGAACACCACGGTGTCCACGTTCCCGCCATTGAGTACAAATTCATATCTGAAAAATTAGATTTTTAGACAATAAGTGTTGCAAAAAAACAACCTTATATTCAGTTTATGCACAGGAATAGTAACCGATGATCCTAACGCAATCAATGCAGTACATAACAATGACTTTTACTTAATTCCTTTGCACAAAATTACAGTTTACGTGCAACTAGCGCAATTTATATATTTTTCTGAATACATCAGTTCAATATGGTTATCTGAATCTAACATGAGATTTCAGGATATGTCATCTAAGGACATCCTCCCACGCCAGGGGTGCTTCCTTACCAGTAAGGAGTACCCCTGGCAAACTGCCCATTTCAAACCACTCTAACGGGATGACAAGCTTCAGCCAATCAGAGGCATAGCTTTCGGTAGCGGAAAGCTAAGGTCAAAGGTCGCTGGGAAGCTGAAAACATCCTGTCGGCTATTTTTTGGGGCCAGCCGTGCAAGAATTGTTTGAATCGACATCGTCAACATCAACAGCGCACGGTACAGACACTGCTTCACAACAGAGACGTCTTCCTAAGTGTAAGAATAGGTGGGGGAAAGGTCTGTGTTGTATTTTAGCCAGCGAAGCAGGCAACCCAGAAATGTTTACATGTCCGCCATGTCGAATTTAGGTTATCTGGGCACTGATTGGTTTGCGCCAAATAAGGCAAGCTCATGAATATTTGTAAACAAGGCCCCACAGAGGACAAATCTGGGGATAATAGGGCAGAGCTAATCCCAAGGCGTATTTGCCGCGGGATAGCTCTGCCGTGGGAGAATGTCTAAGGACTGAATTGTAAAAAGATCTGTATGTAGCACAAACTTTTCTTAAAATAGGTCACACATGTACATACCCGCCATCAGTACGTGTCAGTGTGTGGCCCAACGCTGGAGTATCAAGAAGAGACACTGTAACACCCGGGAGTGCACTGCCATCTCGTGTTGTCACATGCCCACGGAGAACTGCAACCCTCCTGAGGATAACGAAGGCAAATAGTTACCTCCGGGTAGGGATGTACATCCCGAGCGCGGAGGTTTTGTGAGGGAAGACGAAAATTGCGTTCGCACCCGTTTCTCGCGTTTGGGTGGACGGATATGTCTGGGAGTTGGTATACGTTTTGCTGTTGGGCTGTAGATGGTGCACGTTGTTTTGGCTTTTTAGTATGTGTGTTTTAGTGCGTCAAAATGATGCGTTTAGACCGCCGATGGACACCCCTTTCAGTGTGAAAGTGGACCTCAGCTTTTGACCTTTGCATGTTTAAGGACGATTGAGGTCGCGACCACTGATCTGACCTTTCACACAGAGGGGTGTCAGCATTGTCGATAAATTCTTTCTTTGAAACTGTTCAGATGTGAACCACATGTGCCGTCAATCAACGTCTCATTATCGTGCCCGTGCCGGAAACGCCGGCAGGCCGGCCGTGTCTGAAACAGGGCTGCTATTCACACTGATATCTAAACAAACACATGGCGGCACGACCTGAATATATCACCGCCACTTGTGCTAACCGTGGCAAATATGTTGCTGTTCTTAGCTGCCTGCCGCGGTTTGGTACCGGTTAAATCTAACAGGAATCAATGAAACCTTGCTGATAAGATTGCGATTTGTTTTCGAAAATATTATTTTGTCTCGTGTTTGTAACGTTCGCTCAAAATGAGGTTCTAAGTTTTAACCGTAACATGAAAGATATGAACACGCTTCTGTGCATGTTTTGATGGGGTTTTTTTACGTGATTTGAACTAGTGTGGGATAAGTGGGGAGGGATGGCAGCCGCGGGGGGAAGCGTAGCGGCTTGATACATTTTCGAGAGCAAGTTCCGTTCGGCGCACTGGAGTTGATCGCTGGTCGCTGAGGGTCGGGCAGCCAGATTCGCCACGGGATGCCCCCTGTCCTTTCTATTTTTGGGCTCCAGTCGGCTAGGGGGGATTAGTGATTTCACAGATCATTTAGCCAATTACAAACATTTCGAAACTTTTCGAAAAACTAAACTG